ACACACACACAGTAACTCCCTACACACACGCACACACGGTAACTCCCTACACACATACACACACATGATCCAACACACACACATACGGTGACTCCCTACACACACAGTAACTCCCCCCACACACACACACACACTCCGAACACCCGAGGACAGGGGCTCCCTGAGAACGAGGGTGGCAGAGAGGGATCTGCGCTTCTCCGCTTCGGGAGACCAGTCCTACAGTCTGGGCTGGAGGAACCCCGGTGCGCACACACCCCGACATTTGTGTGGCGGATGCTGCGGAGGCCCGCGGTGCCGGGATCCCGCCTCCGCCGAGCCCTCCCTCGGCAGCCCGCGGCGGCATTCCGGCTCCCGGACGCCGGCCAGGAAACTACAACTCCCAGCAGCCCTCGCCGCCGCCGGCGCGCAGGCGCAAAGCAGAGGCTTCCGGGAGCGGGCGGCCCGGGGCGGGGCGAGCGCGCGCCGGACGGAAGTCAGTCGCCCCGCTGCGTCCCGGCTTGTCCGCCTCGAGGCCCCGCCACCAGCGGGCACCCGGAGCCAGGCCCGCAGCGGTGAGTGACCGTGCGCCCGCGGCCGCCGGCGCCCTCCCCTCGCGACGGGCCCGGCCCTCCGTCCGGGAGCCTGCCGCCACCCTCCGACCCTGCCGCGTCCCGCCCCCTGACCCCGCAGGCGCCCTTCCCGTATGACCCGAGCGGGACCCCTGTCCCCTGGCCTGCAGACTGGGCTGGGACAGTCTACCTCTGAGCCTGTGGGAAACAGTCCCTTTCTTCTCACTGGCGGCGGTCACCCCCTCGGACTAGTGTGGGGCACCATTCCCCCTGGCTAGCGCGGGACCCCTTCTCCTCTGACGTCCTTCCCTCTGTCTCAAGTAGGACATGTCCCGCTCTGGCTAGTGTGGCACACCGTCCCCCTTTGACCTGCAGGACTCCTCTCCTCTCTAACTCAGGTGGGACTGCCACCCTTGGGAATGACCCCTTCCCACCCCGCCCTGACTTCACATACCCCTCCTCTACCCTCCGCACGCCCTCTCCTGCGGAGGGAAGGCTCCGCTCTCTAACTGGCCCCTTGTCACACTTGTATCGGGCCGACCTTCCCAGACCATCCCAGTCCTTGCCGTGCTTGCCCTCATGTAGATGGAGCCTTGCTCAGCTCCCTCTCCCTCTCCCTGCCGTAGCTGTCCCCCCACCACTGCCCTCTGGTCTGGGCTATTTCGTTTCTGGCTGTCTCCTCTTTGCCTGTCCTTGTTGCTTGGTGTCTTTGCTTCTCCTTCTGAGTGGTCTTTCCCTCGCCCTCTGTGTCCCTGGGCTTGGCACCCGGCACCTGTGACCACTCTTCCACTTGCCTTCAGCAGACACATCTCTCTCCCAAACACCTTTCTCCCTTCGTGACCCCTGGAAAACCAGGGCCTCTTAGCACCCCAGCTCCATTTCCCCTTCCCATCTTGTATGCTCGACGGCTTTTCCTACCACATTTTCCACATTTTCACGTTTGAGAACATGAGTCTGTTGGTGTCAACCGAATCTGGCAGTGTAAGGGCCAAAAGTTGAAAAAAGCGCCGTGTCACGGAAGAATCCTAAAAGGAAGCATGTGCTGTAGCCGTTCGGGGGCCGAGACTCTGCAGCTTCTCCTTCCTCTCCCTCTGAGGAGCTTTGTTGGGGAAGGTCCTCCTGGGCTGGGCCACACACCCTCCTTCCAGGCCACCCCAGGCCCCTCAGCAGAACAGTCCAGTGGAGCCTGTGGGCCCACAGGGCTCCTCCCTGGTGCCCTTCCCTGCTGGCCTCAATGAGCCCTCTGTCCATGCCAAGCCCTGTGAAAGGCACATTGAAGGGGCCAGCCCTCCCCCCCGTGTGGCAGGGGTTTCCTGTCAGTGCGGCCCGGAGCATCTTCAGGGGGAGGATGCAGGTAAAGCGTGGATTTGTCCAGGCACTGTCAGCGCCATTGCAGCAGTCTGGGGACAGAATCCTAGGCCTTTTTCTCACACTTTTTCTTGTCCAAATTAACCTGATCACAAAAGATGGTGATATGTTACAGGGTGGTGGAGGAAATCATCCACTTACAGCTGGATTGGACCACTCTGTGTGACCATGTTATCCCTTAGTCAGGGTGCTTGTCTGATCCTTTGAGACTTCTTCTAGCCAAAAGTCTCCCTTCTTCCCCTTTAGGCTGTAAGCATATTTTCATAGCCCATAGCAGCTTGGTCAATGTATTGGTTTAAGCTATCCATACTTGAGAAAATTGTTACGTCCCCCCTCGCTGTGCGCCGAATCTGCCGCGCTTCCCCGAGCTGCAGAGGCCGTGAGGAGACCCGGGGTGCGGTAGGAGCAGTTCTTGCCCTGGTGGTGCTTTCACCCTGCTCCCTCGAGGCGAGCGTGTGTGCACGCGCAGGCTCCCGCAAATGCTCATGGCCCCGCTATCTGAGTGTCAGCACCTTCTGGCAACTGTACAGGGGAGGTGTGTGAATGTTCGAGTGTCTCCTCTTTGAAACACTGAATAGCTGAGATCTGGCACAGTGTCCGGAGTCCTGAAATGGATCCGTACTTTGACAAGGAAGTCATTGCTCTGTTCTGTTTGTGCTGTGGTGCCAGGGATGCTGGGGGGTGGGGCGGAGAGACAGTGTTGGTTCACTCCGGACTGTTGAGATTTCCTGGAAAGCTCGTAGTAAATGCCAACATTAAGGGAACTGAAAACTTTTATGTTGATTTTCCTTTTCACTTAATCAAGGCAATCAATTAGGAAAAAGTAATCCTGATAGTAGAGAAGTGTGTTTGGGAAGAAGATGTTCCATTTTCTCTTTCGGTCTGCATTTCTTTTGGATCCTCTTGTTTCTCTGTGATAAGTTGAGTAGGTGAGTAGAGCCCACAGCTCCTGGTTTCCGAGCAGAGACAGTACTGCTTCCGCCTGCTTCCAGCCGGGGAAGGTGCCACAGGCAGCGAGGAAGGCCCTGAAGTCAGGCTCAAGACAGGGCAGTGTGACGGAGTTGGGGTGAGCGTGAGACCGGGACCGGTCGGAACAGCTCTGAGGGTCACGCTGGGTTGAGTGGAAGTCTGGGCGCTGCTGCCTTTGTGTCCCAGGAGCCTGGCACTGAGGAAAGCTCTAGACAAGACGCTGGGCTCCTTCCTGCACGTGCACTGCACTGTGTGTGGAGGTGAGCTCTGATGTGGGTCGGTGGGGAGCCCTGGTGTTTTGGAGCCCTTGGCTTCTGTCTTTGCCATGCCAAAGAGTCTATAAAGGTCAGCGGGTTTTGCTCTTTACTGTCCAACAAGGAAGTGAACTTCGGCCCGAGCAGAGTGGGCACTCGCAGGTGTGCCTGCTCTCTGGGCGTGGGGAGGGAAAGGCTGGCAGCTCCTCTGCAGGGGTGAGGGGTGGGGCTGTTAAACCTGTTTGTTTTGCCACCTGCCATGTACCATTCCTGCAGGAAGCAGGGGGAGATCCTCTTGGCTGTGAGCAGTGTGGGGAGTCGCTGCCCCGACCTCTTCACCTGGCCCGGCCATATCCAAGGGCCCGGCAGGCCTGGGCGGCCCTGGCGCTGGAGGAGCTGCACCTGCTCGCTCCTGGGATAGTGTCAGGGGCTCAGGGAGCGGCCTCCTGGGAGAGCACGGAGGAAACGCACGCTTCCTAACTCCCTGCTGCTCCCCTTGCCATCTGGGAGTGTCCCGTGGTGGGGACAGAGATGTGTGTGTCCACAGTTGCACCTTCCTGTTTCAGGCCTGTTTTGTTAAAAAACCAGAAATGCCTGAGTGTCGGTGAGACTTTGTCAACACCCGCTCACAAGAAAGGGAGGAGGAGGAAATTGGACTCAGAGCCTTTCAGGTACTCCTGGCTCCTGCGGTTGCTCTTTCCACGGACGTTGTGCACGAAGCGTGGGCTCCTGCAGGAGAGAGGGCGGCTGCAGGGGTGCGGGCCCCTGGGTTTCTCAGCCTGGGAGAGACGAGTTGTCTGCAGTTCTGCCCGGACAGGCGAGCCTGGCGCGCCGAAGGACCTGTAGCTCCCGGGTCCCGTTTGCCTGACTGTGGAAGATGAGACCGTCACGCTGCAGGCGATGAGGTTGACCAGCTTCTTGTCACGAGAAAGCAAACGCTTAAACTGCCTAGAGCTTTGGGACCCCGGGGAGGAGAGAAGCCTCAGACAGGCCCCTTTCCTCTGGGAACGACTGTCCGTCTTGTCTCTCCCCTTCACTGGTTCGTTTCTGTTGTTCGTGGCTGGCAAAAAACAAAACAAAACAAAATCTCCTAAATGGACGTACAAGCTCTTGCTCCGCCTTGCTCCGCGCAGGCCTCCGGCAGCAAGCACCACGGCAGCCCAGCCCGTTTTAGGTGATAAACCCGCTCAGGGTCGTGGAAAAGGATTGAGGCGGCACCGGACTCGAAACTTTCTTTTCTGCAAAATAAAAGTAATTCCTTGGGGTACTAAAGGAGGGATGAGGGCCGAGGGAAGGGGTTCTGGTGCTGAAGTTCAAGGAACTTTCTGGAAGGCAGACAGTTTCGTCACTGAAAGCAGTCGTGCTCTTGTTTAACCAAAGGTGACTGAGTCCCACGTGCCTGCCCCTCTGTCGGCTCCCGGGACTCAGCATGGCGGCGGTGCCGCCCTTCCCTACTGGAGCCCAGCGCGGAG